CACCGGGAACCTCATCGGCGTCGGTCGCGCAGCCGCAGTCACCACAGGCGTCCTCTTGGCCGCCCTGCCAACGCTGGTCCCACGTCTCACCATCGCGCCTTCACTCCAAAGCACCCACCGGCAGTCAAGGCCAAGCCGGCGTGCCGGCCATCTGCTCTTTCATATGACCGTTGACGGACTACCAGCGGCAAAAGGTCCTCAGTATATCGATGCACGCATGTTTTGCTAACATGAGGTTTATGCTGCCCCGCAGCCTTTCTTGCTTGGTTTGTCCTTGCAGTGATTTCATTTGCCATGCAGTTGTCAGTGGAGTTTGTGAACAACCTGGCGGCGGTACTCAATGTCCTCGCATCCCAAGTAGCGACTGCTCTGGACACCCTGAACTTTGCCCTGGCGACCGAGCGAAACCAGCAGTCTGACACCCGAGTGTCCCCTAGGGCTCCACGGAATTCCAGGCACGGACTGCGCCCTCGCATCATCACAGAGCGCATCTCGTCCGATCGATCTCGCTCTCCTGCTCGAATCCGAACCCAGCCTCTGGATACTTCCTCCACCTGGTATATACCGGCCTTATCCCCGCCTCGTGCGGCACATCGGGATGCCGCTGACAGCATTTCTGGTCGCCGTCCAGAGTCAATGTTGGATCGGTTGCCGCCGCCAAGGCCTCTTGCTCCCCTACCCCCTCACAGTGGACGCGAACCAGGACAGACATCGCCTACCACACCTGATTCGGATTCGGACGGTTCAGTTCGTCCACACCCAGGTGCTTCATCGTTCCGTCCATCTCCCACGGTGGTTCATGGACCTCGGGAACTTCTACAAGAATTCACTATTGCCCTTCGCAATGCACATCGTGAACCTTTTACGGCGTGGACACAAGGTGAGCTGGATGAGATGGTCAGACGGAAAAAGGACAAGGATTCCAGGCCCACCTACAAAACCATTGCCCATTTCCTTCAGTTGCCCATTGAGGAAGTCAAGCAGGCCTGGAAGGTCTACCAGCAACTTGAGGCTCGCGCTTAGGGCACCGCGCATCGAAAGAACCAGTGACTACCGGAGGACTAGCCCGTAGGACGTGGCAGTGCATTCTGTGAGCGTTGCATGTTGTTGTGATGGTTTGGATTGCAGTCATGGCAGATCGCATGATTCTTTCCTTACTTGTTTGCATGACATGGCTGGCATGCTTTGCAGTAATGACTTGACGGACCTACATGACATTTCTACCAGTGAGGACATTGTTGGCTGTCATGGAAGTTGTTGATGACTTGGATTTCATGCATGGCTGAGCTGCTCAAATCATGTCGGAGCGAGATGTGCAGACATACATTACTTGGACCCATGGAGCGCAGCCGACGTGGTTACAGTTTCACGGGCCTGGTACATTGCTTGACAGACCAGTTCGATGGACTGCTTCACCTCCGCCCCCGCCAAGGTTTCCAATACTTCTTCCACCTCCACCTCCTCCACCGCCACCACCACCGGTGATTCTACACCCACAGTTTATGCCCTCATTGCGTGCCTCCTTGAGCCCTTCTCCTCGAGGACAGTCCTGCCCTGCCACAGTGAAATCGCAGCGCACACGCCGCTCGATATGCAGCACTGACCAGTTCCGTGATGATGATCTACGCAGTCTTAGGAGTTCTCCGAAACGCTCTCGAACAGCATCCGCATCCGCCCTGCGGAGATCTCGGCGACCCTTCACCGTGTTCCCTTCAAAACGAGCCACCCGTCCATCGCTGTCCCCATTGACAAGTTGCAAGCATTACTGTCATGCCTTTCTACATCATGGACGGAAGTGTCTTTCTCCCTGTGCTCGTCGCCGACCAGGACATTACCATTGCAGGTGTGTGCGGCATCAGCGGCGGTGAAGCATAGGTGTCGTATACTGTAGACCTTGTGGATTTGTCCCGCCTTCAGTTTGAAAAGTTGCCTTGCATTGCGTTGTTCAACACATTCTCATTGCGTCAGGTTGTCATGGCATGAGTGTTTTCGCCGCAGATTCAGTGGATTTGCAATTTCTTTCAGCGGCCCTGCGACGACCAGTTTTGCCGCTATGAACCCTCACTATATTGACTTTGACTACCACATCGAGAGAGGAGTGGAATGGATTCGAATTTACACACCGGGCACGTGGCAACCCGTAGCCACAGATACTCTGGTTCGTGCCCCAGACTACGCTTCCACGTATCGGGAGTGGCGCAAGTCATATCACTTTGACGTGTACTTGACCGAAGACAGCACCGGAGGAACAGCTGCGGACCCCAATGTCACGCCCAGTTCGTATGTGTCATACCACGTGTGGGAGTACCGAGACTGGGAAACACGAGGTTATCAACGCCTTGGCGCTCCACTACCAGCCATTGGATCGGCGGCGCTCGTGAATGAAGAAGCTACTTCCTCGTTGGAGTCTTCAGTTCCGGATGGGGCGTGGCGGGAACCTTCACCACCACCATTCTATGATCCTTGGAACGAATCGGATTGATGCTTGAGCAACATGTCGGTTAAAATGATGCGATTGTGCCTGATTTGATTGCGGCATCATGTTGGGTTGTCTTGGATTGTGTTGTGCTTTCCGGCTCCATGTTTTCGCCGCTTCCCTTTTGCCTCCTAGCGGCTTCCCTGGTTGATATGTTCAATTCTACAATATATGGCACTGCAAGATGGACCCTGCCACGCTTCTTTGAGTACGACATCGTCAATGGCCCTGCAAGCACAAGCGTTGAATGGATTCGGGTCTATGTACCTGGTCCGTGGCAACCAGTTGCCGAAAACACCTTGGGACCTGCCCCGGAGGACACAACCACCTATCGGGAATGGCGCAAAGTCTACCACTTCGACGTGTATTGGCCTAGGGACAGCACGGGCGGCACCAAATATGGGCTCTGTTTCCCAGCCGGTCTCATATGCGTCCTTCTATACATGGCAGTATCGTGACTGGGTCACCAGAGGATATCAACGGCTCGGTCATCCGCACCCCAACATTGCACGTCCAGTTTTCGCTTCGGGATCACCAGACCTCATGTACGCTGGACTGTCCTCTTCGTCGGCATCCTCGAACTCATGTGGTGGCTGATGCTCGTCCTCGTCTTTTCTGGATATTCAATTCAATTTGATTGGGGCGAGTGACTTCGACACCTGAGCCGCGCCTTGCTACAAAAGGGTTTGCTTGCATGTTTGATGTTGTGTCACATGTCGTAATAGCTGTCTGCAGCCGTACACCTCTCAATCTGTCATCAAGGGTTTGAGTTGTCATGCCGTGGCTGGAGTGGTGTCCGGATCCTCAACAGCCAGATGCCCAGCGGGTCAAGATCTTTCATCCGGGATCCTGGACTCCACAGGACGAACATGATGCTCCACCTCCGCCTCACACATACAGAGAGTGGAAGGAGTTCTATGTCCCAAATCCTGATCAAGACGGTGCGCAGCCCAACGTCAGCATTTGGTACAAAAGAGACTGGGCCACAGAGGGCTATCGGCGAGTCGCTGCCCCTCAAGCTGGTCATGACTTCGACTCGATGTCTTTTCCTGATCAACATAGCGTGGCCACGCAATCCTCGGCATTGTGTATGTCACCGCAAATGTTGGATGCGATTCTTAGATCATCGGATGCGGCGGCTTTCTCCACTGAGGATCTGACTCGTCTTCAAGATGGGATCTCTCAACAACTGTCGGATCGCGCGCGTCATGCATCCCAACAACACCAACCAGTACGTGCATCTCGTGGAATTGCACCACCAGAGTCTATTGGGGTCTCTGATCCATACCTGCCTACGACACAATCATGCAGCCCCACCGCCAAGGTGAAGCCTATCTTCGAGCTAAATGATGACTAGACTGATGCGTGTTGGGCATGGCACAAAAGGGTGATTTTCATGCTTGTGCTGCCTTGCTTGGTTGCTGATTGTGCATGGTTGTGCATGGTGACTGTTTCTTTACTAGCTGGATCTGAACCCGCGGTACGCCCTGTCTCTCACTTCGGCATGGACATCGAGGATGCAAAGCAGTACCCATGGCTCGAATATTCGGTCTGGCAGGATCAGGAGTGGGTGCGGATCTATACTCCGGGACAACCTCAGCTGTGGCAACCAGGAGAAACCGTACCTGACCTACCAGACAACTCGTTTCGGGAGTGGAAGCGGGTAACTGATCTCATTGGTGGGACTGGTGAACACAGTCAGGCGTGGACCATTCGCGACTGGCAGCATCACGGATACCAGCGCATTCTTTCTCGCAGGGAGTCCTTCTCCACACATCATGCCCGTGATCAATCACTTGTTGATGTGCAGAATTCCGACGCAATCCGAGTCGAGGAAATGTTCACCTATGCTCCCCCTATTTCTGACGGTGATCGCTCGACTGCTTTGCAATTCCCTCCAGTCTTCTATGGCGACACCCGTAATGCTCATCGTGGTGATCTTTCGTTCCCGTCTTCTGAGCGGCTTAGGGCAGTTTCGCGTTCCCCTCGCCGCGGTGGATATTTTGGCAAACGATAAGGACACAAAGTTGAGCATGTGATCTTCCTGCTGAAAAAGAGACTTCTCGCCCCTCACTGAGGGGCGTGTGTGTGCGGAGTGACAGAATGCCCTGTCACCACTATTAGTAGCAGGGGAGTGCGGCATGACTGAGGGACCGCACTCAACGAAGCTACCTCAGTCATGGGATACCGGATCTGATCAATCCGGCGTACCTGCTTTCCGTGATTCTGAATGTCCTTTTGGCCCCCTTGGTTTTCTTGTTCTTTCCTGTAACGTTTTCGTTTCTAAAGTGAAGCCAAGTGACTTGCAAGCAGAACTCAGCCGAGACTCATCAGTTGTACTCGAGACTCATCAGTTGTACTCGAAAGATTAGCACCCTCCATCTGGAGTTTAAGTGTGTGTGTGCGCGCGTAATTGTTTGCTTTCGGTGTGCGCACTCCTCAGCCTAATTACCACTTGTCAAACGTGTGTGGGCTTTGATGTTCATGTCTACACAGATGCAGTCAACAGTGCGTCCAATGCCAGGTATCACGAGAACGACGAAGTGGTTGTCGTGCAGTGGCGTCGCAAGCGAGGAGATGGCGATCGTCCTGGCAGCACGGCTTCAAGGAGCAGGGCCAATTGACGGGCACGTGCGACGGGCGGGCACATGCCGGGTTTGGCAGATGCTCGTGAAACGCATCCAGGCGGTTGCTTTGCTTACCCTTTCGTTGCTGGAAGTGCTCAAACGTGTAAATGATATATTGTTTGACTTCTTGAAGTGTTCCTTCCTGCGCTCCAACTTGTCAGCTGGTGAGCTGCATTTTGCCCGAGTGTGTCGGAACAGGTTCCCCAGTCATTTTGAAGAGGAGCGCATTGAGCTTGAAACTTTTGCGCAGGATGAATGTTAGTTGCAGCTGTCATTTACTTCAAAAGCCCGCAGGGAATCCCATTGGGCGTTCATCATGTTCCTCCGGATGGCACCATGTGTTCTTGGTAAGGATTGTTGATCAGTGTGTGCACATGTGTGTGTGTGTGCAGGGTTCTAAGCAGGACTGAGCTGGGTGAGACTTGGTGTGATCTACATGCTGCCCATGATTTGCGCTCTGCCGGCCGCTTGAGGCGGGATGACGGACCAGCGCGTGCGCTCAGAGAGCGCTCGCAGCCGGAGTCGAAGTTGCAGCTCGAACCGCTGAGTTCTGGGCGGCCTTGGCTTGAGATGTGCCATGGCCGAAGCAGCCCTGTTTTGCTTGGGGTTGGCAGGGAGCATCATACAGCGCTAAATGAGAAGTTACGTAAGCACTGCAAGGGTTCCCACAAAGAAGTTGCCATTGAGGGGGTCAATTTACCATGCCATAGGAGGAGTTTTGGGCAATTGCACATATGAGTTTGCACGTGGGTGTGGGTGTACGTGTATTTGTTTCCGGCGCACCGTTCTTGGGCACTATCAAATATTGAGAAAGCATAAATTTGGAAGGTTGAGAGGGGTCATGGGGGAGGACAGCTGCAGCCTTTACATTGCGCAGTGCGCCAGCTTTTCTGCCTAGAACGGGGTGTTGATTGAAGACGAAGTCAGAAGGCTTCGTCTTCATGAATGCCCGGTTTGCAAGCCATCCACGTGTGGGCTGGGGTGGCTAATGTATGAAGACCCAATTTGGATCCCTTGGCAATCTACCTATTTGGCGGTACGAGTCTAGGGGTATCCTACGGGTATACACATGTTCAGGGGAACATGACAATCCTGGATTGTTTGTGGTTGTGATGGTGTACAAGCTGTTCATTGTATGCAAGTTCTAGCCCTCACACCCTGGATGGTTTGCGGATCTTTGCAACAGCAATCAGCCCAGCGCTTGCGCTTGAGCACAAGCGGTTGGCTGGCAAGCTGTTGACGGCTGATCTGCTGTCAACGGCTGGCCGTTGCAAATCACTGGCAGTGTGCGCCTGTTCTTGTTACAGGTATCCACTCACTGCCTGATTTGAGCGCAGCGCGTGTTGAAGACGACGCCATGCGTTGTCTTCAGTTCCGCGTTGCGGCGTTTTGGCACCAGTGGGAGTTCATGATGGCGTGCCAGATCTTGGGATTCATTTTCCCTCATGCCCTTCGTGCTAGTTTTTGTTTCCGAATTTTGAGAAATTGGCATGCCACATGGTGTTTCCCACTCCCCTTCAGCCCCCTCCTGACCAGGGGGGCTGATAGATTGAGTTGGCATGCGTTGCACAGAGCTGAGGCTGATGAGAGGTATTTCTGTGCAGGCAGTGCAGGCTTTGTGAGTGTTTGCGTGCCTTGAGCCAAGCTTGAAGCCTATGAAGGCTCTCAATGTTGGAAGGCAGCAGCAATAAGAGATCAGAAAAGGGTACAAGCCACATTCACATATTGAACGCAACCATCAATCGCCCTGCATGATTTACATGCCTTTGTATTCGATTCCACCGTGGGTACTGCCTATTATTGGGGGTCTTATTGGGAGCTGTCATTGTTTAATTCCCCAGCGTGAGTGTCCGGTTGCAGCCTATGCCCTGTGCAGTTGTGCCAGCTTTTCTGCCCACACTCGTGTGCTCATTGAAGACGAAGTCAGAAGGCTTCGTATTCATGAATGCCCGGTTTCCAAGCCATCCACGTGCGGGCTGGGGTGGCTTCTGCGAAAACCCAATGGATCGTTGGCAATATACCCCGGTGCGCCGAAACATGCTAAACCCGCCCATACAGTGATACATAGGCATAGCCGGTGTTTTCGATGCCTTCCTCAACAAGTGCCGGGCCTCCAGAGTACATGACCATCCACTGATTGAGCCTGTGCAAGTTCTAGCCCTCACACCCTGGATGGTTTGCGGATCTTTGCAACGGCAGTCAGCCCAGCGCTTGCGCTTGAGCACAAGCGGTTGGCTGGCAAGCTGTTGACGGCTGATCTGCTGTCAACGGCTGGCCGTTGCAAATCACTGGCAGTGTGCGCCTGTTCTTGTTACAGGTGTCCACTCACTGCCTGATTTGAGCGCGGCGCGTGTTGAAGACGACGCCATGCGTTGTCTTCAGTTCCGCGTTGCGGCCGTTTGGCACCAGTGGGAGTTCATGATGGCGTGCCAGATCTTGGGTTTCATCTTCCCTCATGCCCTTCGTGCTGTTTTTGTTCCGAATTTGAACTGTTACAGTATGAGTTCTGGATTCGCATCATGAAATGGGGAAGAGGACTCATGAGAGATTGGCATGCCACATGGTGTTTCCCACTCCCCTTCAACCCCCTCCTGACCAGGACGGGGGCTGATAGATTCAGTTGGCATGCGTTGCGCAGGGCTGAGGCTGACGAGAAGTATTTCTGCGCAGGCTTTGTGAGTGTTTGCGTGTCTTGAGCCAAGCCTATGAAAGCTCTCAATGTTGATTTACGTGTGCAAGGCATCAGCAAATTGGGGTCAGCTATAGCACCCCAAATTCGTGGTGGTAGTGATGCCCCGAATTGTGATTGGTGAATGATGGCAATTGGTGTAGACCTCATGGGTGCAACGACGGGCCCCTGAACACAATGAAACGTGAAAAGGCACGTAGGCGCTTGACTTTTGTGCCGGTGGCCGGCTGCAAGACATCCAGCCATCGCGCGCACTTGGTTTTTAGATCGCAGGCGCATGCGCCGCTCAAGGTGTGGCTCACGCCCATTGTAGTTGGCTTTCGTGGCTTGTCGAAGCTTGGTTCACTGTAGCACTGACTCATGCTTGCTTTGGTTTAGGGAGCTGCTGAACCCTGGGTTTTGAACCAGACTGGAACGGCTGGCCATTGTTACACAGTTTGCATCGAAGTCGTGGGCACTGAGAGAGCAAGGCGCGCTGCGTTCTGTGCGAGCATAGATTTCCGGCAACGCAGGCGAGAAAGACTTGGCAGTTTCCAGGTGTTCAAAGGGTTCTCCGGTTGCTTCCAGCCACCACTCTCCCCCAGACTCACACGGAAGCTCCCAGAAAGCCACTGTGAATGGAACCAAGGTTTCCCAGTGGGGAGGGAATGAATGCAATCCCAACGCTCGACCCTTGAACTGTGTCACTGGCAAACTGAGACTTGAGACCTCGTCATTGATTTGGTGGCTCGCAAGTATCAACCATTGTCCACTTTGAGTTTCGCAGCTTTCGCATTTTTAGCCGTGTTGCTTAGATGGTGTGGTCGTATGTTAGTGGTGTGGATCAAGTTCCTGAGCTGACTTCTCGCCTTTGCAACCCAACATGAAGGAATACTGTTTGTTTTGCACGCAGTGTGTTGCTTAGATTGGCAGCTGGGTGAAACCAAACATTACAGGGCGGGCTCTTGCCTTGCCAATCGCTTGGCCCAAATCTGAGTATTTTCAGCATTTCTGTACAGAGTTTGCTTCAAGCCCACCCTGAACCAGAAGAAAAAACTCGGAAGAACACACACACACACGGCAAAACGTGTGAGAAGAGGGCCCGCCACGCAAACAATAAAAAAACAGCACCTCCCGAGGCCAAGGCGCAGGCGGAGGCTGTGGACCTGGAGGGCAGGTCTGCAGCCTCTGTGGCCAATGAGGCCGGCGATTCGATTCGATGAGTCGCGAGCGCCTAAGGCCAAGGCCAGCGAGGTCGATTTCTAGACGACTGACCCACAAAGGACAGGGTCTACAGAGGGGGACGCCAATTGGAGCAACTCCTAACCTGGGTAGGTGAAGATGAAAATGGGTGGGTTGTGACTCGATGCACTAGACAGTGCCTTCTTGATGGTTCCCAGCCATTTGGTTCCTGAAAGGTTTTAGTGGGTTTGTATTTGGTGAAAGCGGGTAACCAAGCTGAACTTGTAGGGGATCTGAGGGCAGCCCAGTTTTGGCTGGCTCCTTAAAGATCGTCAACTCAAAAACACGGCTCGCCTACTATTCCGATTTCTTCGTTTGCCATGATCACCGACTGGCAGGGGCTAAGTCCAAATGTTCTCATAGGAGTGTTTCGCTGTTTACAAAAAAGGAAAACCAACTGAAAAGAGAATGTTGGAGTTTATGTCCAAAGGTTGTTGATGCAATGCAAGCGAGTTCCTCACTCTTGCCAGCTCAAGAGAACAGAACTGGTTTCGGCCGCAGCATGCAGGCATTGTTGAATATTTGGTATGCTCCAGAGGTATTTGTGATGTTGATAGTGCTCGGGGCTTGGCTGGCTACTGAGTTGCCGCGCCTGATTTCTAAAGTTGACAAGTGTTAAGGTACCCTGCGAGGCTCGTTCGAGTCCAGATGAAACTTGAGCGCAATCAAGTAACCCAGTTGCGTCTCTTTCGGCCGCAAACTAAACCAGACAGCTTCAATGTTGCCAGATGTTACCTGCTTAAGATGGAACCCGAAAAGGGGCTGTAATGGAGGTTCCTTCAACTGATGGTTTTGGGGGTCCATGTTGGTTTGAAGGCGACATTTGTTTTGCTACAAGGGAGCAAAAGGGATTTCCTCTAAAAAAGTATGAATGGGGTGAAGGCTTTTCAAACAGAGGTTCTTGGGTTTGTGTCGGTTCAGGGCCACTCCCAAGATGGTAGTTGTCCTTGCGCCGTTGAAACCACCCTGAAAAGTTTAGGCTCACAAAGCGCAAGCCCTCTGGTTTCCCGACAGGGCGGGCACGATGAGATCCTGGCCATGATCGCAGAGGCGATTTTCGGTGTGGGCGATCACCGTGCTGGGGATGGGGAAGGTGGGAATCTTGCAAATGGAAGTAAGTGATTGGGCAAACCTCCTTAAACGATGCAAGTTGGCTGAAGCATCACCTTTTCCACTAGTCCAAAAGGAGACCATTTTGCCAGGCTGTGTGGATGTTCCTTGCCTTTTTGAGAAAGGCTGGGTCAGTGGAGTTCGGGTAGGGTGCATCCAGTGTTCTACCTCCGTTGCTGCATCGCACAAGGAGCGCAACGCTTGTCGGACATTCTCAACTACAGTTGGGTGAAAGTAGAGTGCACATTCGGTCATTTTGGTCATCCCCTTCGCTTTTCCGCATAAATGGAACCGTGTCATCAACTTTTACCATGTCGTAGGTTGAGCGAAGGAACAGGAAACGGGGGTCCATGGATTCTTGATTGAGTTCGAAAAAAGTTGGTTTGCGGATGCGCAGCTTGATCAGAAGGCTTGGTCTTTACATTCTGTTGGCTGGCTTTTGGGTGTTGGGCGTGTTGTGCTGAAGAAAAAGCTTTCTTTTCAGACATGGTTCACACAAATCTCAAATACATCCAGTGCGCGGCGGC